AGGAGAATTTAAAACTATTAACTTAACCACATAGTTCCTTTTTATGTTGGTACGCAATAGTACGCAGTGCTGGTACCTTCTCAGAGGCTTTGTGATGAGTACTTGAACCTTTTTTTAGATACTTTAAAGCGGCACTTGTTTTCGCTAGAGGGGGTGGTTGGGGTGGGTGGGGGGGGGGGGGGGGGGGTTGAGAGAGCTGTGTATGATCTCAAATGTAAGTAGACTAATCAAACTTCGATTGGTACTTATAGAGTATCGCTCTGTCACTTTTTCTCCCAATACAATTCCTGGTCCCCTTTACATTATACAAAAACAAAGATATAAAACCGAAAGAAAAGTATATTCCGAAGCTTAACAATATAACAAACACAAACAATAAGTGAACGTTACGGTTATGGAGCCTTCATCAACACATACATAAATACATTATACAGTAGCACTTTGATTTGCAAACAGCTCTACATACGAACTTTTCGAGATCAAACTGTTTTCACATTTTTTAACCTCTAAATACGAACCTAGACTGGAGATAAGAGCCGTGATGCACAGCTCAAGTAGGTGCTATTTCTGAAATAAGATTAAAAAAATCGTCACGTTCAACCAGTGTCACTAAAAGGGGAGCTTTAGGTTATAACTGTGACAAGGCTATGTGCCTCATATACAGTGGCTTAGCATTGCACGCCACAAAGAGAGCCCGGATGATGACTCCTGCGGTGTTGATGCGATCAAAGAAGACCATCCCCTAAACTGTCCCGACCGGCAATGTAGTCGTCCACCGGCGAGCCAGTAAATGGTTCAGTCGCCCATGAGATAAATATGCACAGTGCAAGCGTGGGTTACTGCGTCGCTTGTGGCTGGAATCTGACGCAACCATTGGTGGGTGTAGCGCATGCTGGACCAAGGCCGTAACTAGAGACGGTCGTGGCTAGACGTATTGTGCACCGGAGCTAGTTGAGGAGCCTCCTATTGAGCTGACCACTGAAGAAATATTTCTTCATCTTCTTGTTCGCATTCATCAGCTGTAAAGTCCGGAGGAAAGTTCTGGTTGTTCGTCCACCTATGGGCTTTAAACTTGTCCCAGAACCTGAGTGTTGCGTGCATATACGTTTTACAGATCTGATTTATTTGTGTGCAGGCTGTTGGTTTCTTTCCTCTCAGGCAGTACTGCGACTTCGAAGGAAAAACCCAATTAGTCGACTCCTCCGATATGCTTGATGGGGAGGCAGTGGGTGTGTCTATTCTTGTTTTTCGTCACAATGGGGCTCGGAACCTACAAGGGGTGTGGGGAAGGGGGGGGGGAGAGAGAGAATCAAGAGTAAAGATTCGAACAGGAGAATGTCAAGGAGGGTGAGGAAGAGCAAACGGCTTCAAAAAACATCAGCACAAATGGAGTAAATCCTGCAGCAGTTCTCAACCTGTGGGTCGCGACATTTTTTGGGAGGGGTCGAAGGACCCTTTCACAGGGGTCGCTAAAGTCCATCACAAAACACATTTTCATTGAAGTTAAGAAGTAGCAATGAAAATAATTGTATGTTTTGGGGTCGCCACAACACGAAGAAATGTATTAAAGGGTCGCAGCTTTAGGAAGCTTGTGAGACACTACAGTCGAGCTGACTGCAAGAAATGCTAAATAAACATACGATTGACTGCGAAGGGAATGGAAAGGATGGACTCAAGCATAACTGAACTTTTCGACCAGTCTAGTTTAGTATTTCGCTGATAAAAAGTTTGGTCGAAACGTTCAGTTGTGCTTGTGTGCGTCCGTCTCATTCTCTGCGCTGAGCTTTCTAGTTCCATTTTGTGTTATATTTAGCACAAATTAATTAATTTTAACAAGTGATATAAAGAAAATCTACTAGCACGCGGGAGAATTAGAATAATTAGGGAAAAAGTGCCATTCCAAATCGAGCTGTTGGTTCCAACAGCACTAGTGTCTTCAATGACAATGTCATTAATCATTTTATAATGGTCTTAAGAAAACAGCAAACGCATATAACGTTAGATCGTTTTTAAAACTACCGTTACAAAAGAAACAGAAGGAAGCCACTTAAGACAGGGTTGTTCTTTTACACTTTGATGGAAGGTTTTGGTTTTTTTTACTCCATACATGTGCATCATGTAGATCCAAGTATGTGATACATAAAATTACATGCACATTTTAACTCTTGATACGTATATTTGTATATATAATTTTTTTTTAGTATTCTTCAAAGTACCAGGCAAAAGTTCTGGTCGTTCGTCCACTTCTGGATTTTTATCTTATTCCAGAATTTGAGCTTTGCGCACACATCCGTTATACACAGATCCTGGCTTACTTTTGTGCGGACTTTTGGTACATCGTCAATTAGGCAAATACAGTCCCACTTCAAAGGAAAAACCCTAAATAAATAGTCTTTTAAGTCATGTTTTCTACGAAGCATTGGTCTCCCCCCTACTGCCATCCCCCGCCCACCCCCTCCACCCTAAATAGAGATCCCGGAGCCCTCACGTGGATTTCGTATGTATCAAGTTAAATAAACACTACTCTGTGCTGTGTGTGTTGTCCATCAAGATGATAATGAACACTCTTTTTCAACTAGTATGAGTACGAAGATGACTGATGAGGCCGATGCGGGCCCGAAAAGTTCTTGGACAGTGAGGACAGGGAATGAGTGTTGTGTCAGATGGGAGATCTTCTGCAGTCGCCTTTTTGTCCATCCTTTTCCTAATCAGTCTTGCTGTTTTGTTTGTTTCACATGTAGTTGCGCCCCTGTGTAGAGCTGCACGCCATACTCAATGCTATGTGAATATTAAACTAACATGTTTTCAAAATTCTTACGTAAGTATCATGGATATTTTAGTCCATTCTAAACCCAAGACCTGCTTTAATAAATTTTAGACCTAAAAGATACTGTAATTAGTTCTTGTCCAAACTTATAGTTTTGTCTGGTCTAACCCCAAGAAATACTTTAGTAACTTCTTACTCCAAAAAATACATTAGAATACATCTTACCTAAAAAAAAATTGTTAGTTATTGCTAATGCTAAACAACATCTAGCCCCAAAAATCCTGCTTTTGTATTGGATGTAATTTCTTCTGTCAGGTAAAAATGTAGTCATTTCTAATCGCAAGAGATTATTTAGTCATTTCTTTCCCAAGAAATTCGTTAGTCTCTAAAGTCAAGAATTATTTGAGTCATTTCTAATCCCTAGCACTTTAGTCATTTCATAACACAGAAATATTTAGTCATTTTTCATCCCTGTTTATCTCTTTAGTCATTTCTTTCCCCACAAATGTTTACTCATTTTTTAATCCCATGTAATCGTCTTGTCATTTCTTTTCCCAGTAATATGTAGTAATTTCTTATCCCTACCAACATGTTAGTCATTTCTTTTCCCAGTAATATGTAGTAATTTCTTATCCCTACCAACATGTTTGTCATTTCTTATTCCAAATAATACTTTAGACATTTCTAATCTCCAGTTTTACTTTAGTCATTTCTAATCCCTAGTTATAATTCAGACCTTTCCAATCCCTTGTAATACTTTAGCCATTTCGAATCCCAAGTAATACTTCAGACATTAACAATCCCTATTAATTCTTTAGTCATTTCTAATCCCTGGTAATACTTTAGTCATTTATAATCCCTAGTAACACTGTAGTCTTTTCTAATCCCAAGTAATACTTAAGTCATTTCCTGTCCCTAGTAATATTTTAGTAATTTCCAATTCCTAGTAATACTTTAGTCCTTTCTAATCCCGAGATACTTTAGTCATTTCCAATTCCTACTAATACTTTAGTAATTTCCAATTCCTACTAATACTTTAGTCATTTCCAATGCATAGTAATACTTTAGTCTTTTCCAATGTCTAGTAATACTTTAGTCATTTCTAATCCCTAGTAATACTTTAGTAATTTCCAATTTCCAGTAATACTTGGGTCATCTCCTATTTCCAGTAATACTTTAGTCATTTCTAATCACCAGAACTACAGCTAGTTCTTGTTTCAACTGATTATTAATCGGTTCTAGTCATGGGTCATAATTTAGTCAAAACAATAATATTTTAAAATCTTAAACATAAATGAAACATTGTTTTTGATATAACGTTGATAATTCGAAGTGATACTTGTATCAGTTATAGTATAAATGTTACAACAGTCACTTCTAGTTCTGATGCTAGTTTAGTCAGTGCTAATGTGTAGTGAAACTTTAATAGTTTAATCATTTATATCGTGATAGTGAAGTGAGTTCAATTCTTTGCTTATACTAAAATATTCGTTTTAGTTAATATTTTAGCAGACCAGTCGTTCCTGAATTTATAGTTTTTTTTGGTAGTCTTGTATAGCTAAAACGATATTAAATAATTTCAGGATACTAACTGGTTTTATATCACTTTGTAAAAGTTGCAAAATCAGGATAGTTTTTAAATAATAAGGTTGTTTATTCTTGATTTTTGTGTATGTGTGTGAGTATGTGTGTGTGTGCGCGCGTGTGTGTGTGTGTGTGCGTGTGTTAGAGAGAGAAAGTGAGGAGCATATGTTTATGATCAATGCAAAAGACATAAATATAAAGATACAACCTGTTTATAATGTGATTTTTCTCTCTCTTTTTTTCCAAGTTTTAAATGGGATCAGCCCGCGTTGATCGTCAAGAAGTGGAACGTTGTGTGTTAGGTGTGTTAGATTCAAACTGTCAGAATCTCCAATTAAGGTGTGATGTGAAATTAAATGAATATACGGTTATTCAGGCGAGTATAAATGGGAGGAGAATACAGGACTCGTGTAATAATTCTTAGCTGACTGATCAGGAGGTCTCCGAATAAATAGATGTATGTGAGATGGGGATTCTTCACCCACAGGGACTCAACATCCATGATGAGATTGGAATTCTTTACATTAACGGACTCTGCAAACGTAATAAAGGAAATTAGTGTGTGACGAGGCTTGACCAACGAAACCGCCAGATCCAATATCAAAATGACATGAGTGTGCTGTCCGCCTTTGCTTCGCTGGTCATGGAGATGAGTCTAAACGTTGACCTGGCGGGTACGTACCTGGAAATAGACCAGCTTTCCACGCCAATGAGCCCTAATGTGACCCAAGTAAACGGCCACCTGGGACGATGTGATACCAACGGGACCAACGAGTATGAAGCCTTTTATAACATGGCGCAGTTTGTGTCTGGACTAATTATTTACCCCATCTTGTGTATCACGGGGATTCTGGGAAATACGCTGTCTTTGATCGTTCTCAGTCATAAGGATATGGCCACGTCGACAAATATATACCTATTAGGTAAGTTATCTATGTGGGTAATGTACGGTCTCATTTTAGTTTGGTTGTCTTGTTACTTCTCGCTATTATTTATCCTGGTGCCTAGCATCCAAAAACTGCTGAAGAATTATCAGCTGCGCTGGGCTGGTCATCTAGCCCGCATGTCAGACTTAAGCTTCCCAAAGAAAGTATTTAATGGCGAGCTACAGCAAGGGAAGAGGTCCCAAGGAGGACAGAAAACGCCCTATAAGGACACTATCAAGACTGCTGTTAATTGGCATCAACACAGAGGAGGCTGCCGCACAAGACTGAACAGAATGGCGTACATCCCTCAGACATGGTGCATCGGTCTGTCAGACAGTGGAGGTTGCACAGGCAGAGAAACGGAGGCAGAATAGAAGAATCGTACTGCTAATCCCACACTTACTACGGCTTCCATCTGCTGTCTGCACTGCTCAAGAACTTTCCGGGCTTATATTGGACTAATCAACCACCTTCGTACTCATTATCATTGATCATTACTACTTTGGATGAAAAGTAGTCTTCATCACTTGTGATGGACAAACAACATTATCCTCATATTGATTTTGTACACACTTTGAGAGGAAAACAATAATAGACCAGCTTCCTCCACAACAAGTATGTTGTACGTCCACTACCTAGTGGTTTTGCTCTAAGTAGGAGCTTCATCTGCCTGAGAGCCACGGAAACACCAGTCTGCATAAACCAGATCTGTAAAACGGATGTGCATTCAGATTCTGGAACAAGACTAAAGTCCAGAGGTATACCAATAACAAGAGCTTTCCACTGGAGTTTACAGCCTTTGAACAAGAAGACGATACAGCTGTTAGCTCTGAATTTTGCGTCTCCTCGAATATATTCTCAAAATGCTCAATAAAGACTTTGAATAATGATAAGTGTATAACTGTTATTAGGCAGAGTGTATAGTGATTAGAAGCAACCATACACGAAGTCAGATTTCATAAGCATTTTCTAATAAAACGTGAAGGGTGAAAGAACACAATATTAATATTTTCATTCAGTTGAAATAGCAATTGACACAACATGCGTCGCCTAAGACACATAGAGTTAGGATGTCTTTCAGTCCCCATCTTCTTCTATCACTACGCACCTATCTCTACATATCTCTCCTTCCTAATTTCGCCCCGTAACTAAGTTCTCCCTAATGTGTCTCTGTCTTTGTGTATATTTTCCTTTCACTACCTTTGAATATAGGGAGCCTCCTGGTGAAGCTGCTAGACTCTCGTCTGTGGATCGGAAGGTTTTCGGTTCAGGTTCTGGTA